TGGAACCAGTCTTCTGTCTTTCGGACAAGAAGCGCAGTAGCGTTCTCGTCTGACCGGAAGTGTCAATGTTCGATGGTCGTTAGTTCCACCTCATTATGTACCCCGGTATTAGATCCCCGACACCCTTTGTATGCGCGGCAGGGGCAGGCGCCGAAAGGGCTCCCTTGCTGCTGCACTGGGATAGGCGCCGAAAGGCTCCCCTGCCGCACTGTAGCTACAGCAGGGTGGGCGCCAAAGTTAGCCCAGCTGTCATATCTAGTCACTGTAGGAACATGGCAGCCTGACATGTCTGTGTACTATGATTAGATGGGTAGAGTTGTATATATAGCTTCCCACTGTAACTCAGTGATGTGAGAGAGTTCAGTTTTGTCATCTCCTCTGTAGAGCTTCGGCCAACGCTGATGCTTGTGCTGTGTGTGTGCGCTCTGTTCTCCCTCCCTCTTCTTCCTCTAGCCGTAGTGTGTGTGCGAGAACGCCAGTGAGCGGTCAGCTCACCCGTGCGGGAGATCTCGGGCCAACAGATCTGCAGACCATCCAACAACCGCATGTAGACTAGTAGTTCCCTAGGAAGAATCAACCATGGGCAGCTAGAAGTATTCTTGCGCCACGGAATTCAACCACCAAGGGGATATATTTCCTAAAGCCAATCTGTAGAAGATTATATAAGAGCTCTTTTTTAATGTGCCACTAACATATCTGCATACAAAAAGGGCATATCTTTTCATACGAAATGGCTACTAACTAGGCTATCCTCTATGTATTGTGTAGTGTTAGTGTTTCCCTTAATTTGGGAGAGGAAGGCTAGACTGATGTGAGTAAAGATCTTGCATTATTCTAGAGTCCAGAACATACCTGATGCTTCAAAACAAATGATGATACCTTTGCGCTGAGTTAGCAATATAGGCATATAGCAACATGGAGCTGTATAGGCGCTGAACTTGTTAGATGAGCAGGTTTAGCCCGCCATTTTTTTTAGAAAAAAAAAATTCCTTCTTACTGAGCCGAGAGCTAGCAAGACTCATGTAAGGATGACGTGACTCCTGATGTTTCAGCTTTTGTGATCAATAGCATGTTTTTTGCAAGCATATACAACATAATCTTACACTAGTAGTAGTTCGTCGCAAGGCATGCATACTAAACATGTTTTCCTTGACAAACATGATATAATTCGGTGCCAGAACACTTGTCTATTTTTCTAAAAGTTAATAAAACTGGGCCTGAAAGATAGAGTTAAGTTCAGAGTGCACAACCATGCCTTAATTTCAGGTGGTTGTGCAGAGAAACCTACCTGCTTTGATCATATCAATATCATGCTGGGTCGGTTTCTCCACTTGCAAGAAACTTCTTTCCAATGTGGGCATCAAGCACTTTCGAGCAAATTCTACGAAGGAATCTGAGGATAATTCCACGCAACCCTTGTGGAATTTCAAGGCACCTTCGTGTCACTTGCTCATCTATTGACCCTTATCTTCACAATCTCTTCATGTTCTCCTGTGGTACCTTCTAAAATATCTATTCTGGGCCTTTCTAAAATATCTCCTCAGTTGCTAATGCTTCGAGTTAGGCTTTATATGGAATTTAGGATGGTACAGATTGAAAAATGTTTGTAGTCAATAGTAGTAGGAGCTGATGTGTAGCACATGCTTTGCTCATGTCCAGAAAAAGGAACAGACTAAAGAATGACATAGTATGAATATATATAAGGTTCGAAACATGATGTTTTTTTTTGACCGAAAAGACTGGGGGAGATCCTCACAGTGAGCAACTTTTTAATTAATTTAAAACATAAGAGAGGATCTTACATACAAATCTAGCTAAAGCATCAAGGCAAACATAGAAGGTTGACCTAAGGTCATCCTTAAAACGAACAGACTGAAGTTTATATTGGTTCTTAAAATTCGATAACCAAATACTAGGGATTGGGTCTCTTCTCTGGAAGATCTTGTCATTGCGCACTTTCCACAACTCCCAAGCTGCTATCAGAGTTGCTTCTGTGAAGAAAGGTATGTTGTGGGCGCCTCGAGCTTGGGTGTACCTATCCAGCAGAGGTAGTGATGTGTCTCAGTTGATATGTATAGTCGTCCAGCATTCTTTTGCAAACGTGCATTCAAAGAACAGATGGTCGATGGTCTCCTCTTCTCCACTATCACACATGACACATATATCAGTGCCCTGGACGTCAAGATGTCTTCTACGCAGCATAGTCTTGGTGTTGAGGCGATCTACTAGAACCAACCAAGCAAAGAATTTGACACGCGGGGTGCATCTAGGCTTCCAAATGATCTTGAAGATCGGATGTGTATCCACGAAACATGATGTGTTGATTACATCAATGTGATGGTACGGTGCAAAGTGTTCTTTGATTTTAGTGAGTTGGTAATGACAAAAGTGTTATGGCACAGCTGGCATTAGCATGTACACTTGGCAAATATCGAGACGCATATAACTCCACTAACAAGAATCTGAGACTCTATAGGCATGCAATTCGTTAGTTAGTCGTGTTCGAAACGGAAGTTTTCCTGATTAATTAATAAGGTAAATGCATCGTAGGCTCTTGAACTTGTCTTCGGGTGCCACTTAGGTCCACAAACTCTCTAATCGTATTTTTAGCACCCTAATATTGTTTAAGTATGTCATTTAGGTTCATAACTTATCGCAATAAAGTTTTGGCCGACGTGGCGTGCACAGAACGCACGTGAACCTGATTTAGGACGTGCAAATAAGCAGAGGCCACCAAGCGCTCCGGGCAGCCTCAGTGGGTCTCCTATCTGTTTGTTCACCGGCCGGCCGCGCTCGCGGGGGGTGTGCCGGCCGTCCCCGGTGGCAAACTTCTAGGACATTCCGCCCCGTGACCCCGTGGCGCGGACGTAGTCGCTGACGTCGCGCGGAGAGGTCTCTTTACTCCTGGCTCCTGCCCGCCCCACCCGGGTTCGTTATTAGCGGCTCTGCACGTGGCGACATCGTACATTGCGTTGCCGTCCGTCCTCTCGTGCGCGCGTCGGCCGCCTTGGCGCTTGCTTTTGCTCGATCGGCGGCGCGGATGAAACGTACGTGTACCCGCGCGTGCAAGTGTATCGAGCCTCAGACCTCAGCGGCTCGGCCGTCCCTGCATATCGTCGCTGTCGTCCACGTGTCAACACTGAACAGGAACCGGCCGATTGTGCAGTGCAGGTGGCGCCGCCCCCGGTCTCTTCCAGAGACAGACAGGAAGCCAGCTCGGTCGGGCGTTTCTAGTCCACTCCTCGCTGTTGTTTCTTTCTGATCGAGACTTCACTTATATTCACCAAGGAATCTATCTAGAAGACGAAGTACAAATTCCCCTGCCTCAGCATCACTTTCGACTACCTGCCGCTAGTAGCTGCTGCTAGGTTTTCAACTAGGATACGAATATTCAAGCCATCGCCGACAAAAAACGTGACTTTACTCGTGACTTAAACAGCAGCAAAAATCCCAATTTGTACTCTAAGCTAGTACTACAGTACTACTACTTCGTTTTTACTTGCATCTGATACCAGATTGATGGTTCGTTTACATTAGTGTATAGCTCCATCAGACACAGTAAAAACGCATGTCGTCGTCTATCACGATGTTTCATCCCCGATCGATCGAATGACCTCGGTCACTCGTATATAGTTACATCAGACAGCAACGTAACAGCGCGCGTCTCTCTGCACTTGAATCTGCTTATTCATTCACCAGCTAGATTATTTCCCACCGTACCGGCCCTCGGCGTGCGTGCTACGATAACAACAATGCATGTGCTGTCGCCGTCGTCACTTGAGGGAGGCATTATTACGTCACGCGGCGTACGGCCTGACGTCGTCGGGAGCGGCGGCCGGAGCTCGCCGCCGCGGAGGAAGCCGCCGTACCAGCGCGCGGAGCTCCGCACGTAGCGCGTGCGCGCCCCGGCGTTCATGTCGACGCCGCACAGGCCGAAGCGCATCCTGTGGGCGAATAAATAAAGTTAGCCAGCTCTCCACTAAGCTCCTTGTCTTTGCACTTTGAGTGGATTCCCTTCTTCTGCCAATTAATGCCAAGAGTTCTCTTGCAGATATTGAGTATCAACCTGTTCGGAACTGTTGGCTTGTTCGTTGCTGGTTCGTGAGAAAGTACTGCTGGCTGGTTTCTTCACGTGAACAGTGCCCGCGTGAGAGGGCTGGCTAGCACTAGCCAGCCAGCCGCTCCAACCGAACAGGCTGTATATTGGTGATGTGTTGTATTTATTCCCTCATGGCATGACCAATTTCTAGGGGAAAGAGAGAGGGACTCTTGGCACCAAGCTTGAATTTTCTTCAGGAACAATGCTCGTGGTTCATGAAATGGGTATATATGAAAGACAACAAAGATGAATAAGTTGTTAACCTAAAACATATATGAAACATAATGAATCTGCGGCTACATATGCTTTTATTTGTATGTAGAAATTTCTTCATTAAACCTGACATGTATAACTCACCTGTCCCAGTGACCAGATGGAAAAGTAAGGTTTAGCACACTACTAACTATCAGATCATGGTCCTTTGGCGGTTCAGAGACAAATAGCTAGAAGGATCAGGTTATTCTCTGTTGAACTCTTCCCCTCCATTAAGCTTTTGCCTTTGCTGCCGCTGCCTCACTGTGTGGACATGCCTGGTCAAGCTTTTAAGCTTTTTCAAGTGTGTGATGAAAATTCAGGATGCTGCATGAGATGTGTTCAGACTAGTTGGAGGATCCATATCCATAGAATGCCAATATATGATACCAAGCTACCATACACCTACGGCATGAAATAAACAACAAAGACACATCAGATATTGAGAAATAGCACTGCTGACACCTTTACTTCTCTCACTCTGCTATATATCACAGCCAATAGAACACCACCGCCTGAGGCCTATAAATGGAGGCCATCACCAGCGCCATTGGAAGGCACACAAGCTCAAACAACGTGTCCTGGTAGCTTCAGTTTTCCTCCCTTAGCTTGCAACAAACTAGCAAACACAAACACACACACACACACCATGTCTCGCGCTAAGAACACTTTAGTGGCCGAGGGCGACGTGAGTGTGCAGAAGGTGAAGAAGATTGAGTCTGTCTATGACTACGATCTAATCACCAGACCGGGTGCTGGGGTTTCTGTCTCCGGGCAGAAGGTGTTCCAGAGGGCGCCGTCGGAGCGAGAGATAATAAATGACTATATCGCAACAAAGAAGAAGCAATTTGCCGGGGAGATCCCAGAGGGCGGCACATGGTTTACATAGTTTGAGAAGAGATGACAAGTCTAGAAGCCCTACACAGGTGCTCATGGTCAAAGTTCTATATATCTATACTCGATCAGAGTACAGCTTTGTATGTGTATCATGGAATTAACACCTGAGATGTCCTCTATAAGACTACTTAGTTATGCATGCTGATGCATATATGTACCATGCGAGGTGCTTGCTTTAATGTATGATATTTGTATTAGTTGTTCCTCATATAATTATCTTTATCTATCATGGTTCAAGAGGTTATATTTCAATTTCTAGTTATTTCTCGAAGACCCTTCCTCTATGGGTAATTTAATATTTTAAATTTTGAATGGCCTGAAATTAGCTTGACCAACGAACATCAATTTATTATTGTACCAACTTTAGTTTAGTTATTTTTTTGTTTGTTTCTAACTGCTGGGAGGTAAATGTCGGCCTGTTTCCAAAAGAAAGAATGAGACTTGGAACAAATTCCTCGTGCTCTTTTCACTTTAGATATGGACCAATGATAAATGAAGCTAGCAATTTGTCTTTGCTGATTGATAATGTTGTAGGCCCTCATCTCTCACATGATGATGACCTGGACAATCCAAAATATCTTAGTTGGTGCACTTTCTAATTTTAGCAAGGTGCTTAGTATGTTATATTTATATGAATGTCGGATGGCTAGAAATTTCTCGCACTCATTCAATCACACGGACTGTGTGTTACTATAGAAGAAACGAATTTTCGCAAATGTGTTGCACCATGCATTTTTTAACCGTTTAAGAAGAGGGCATGCATGGTCTCGTCAGCATTAGAAGAAACGAATTTCTCGCACTCATTCAATCACACGGACTGTGTGTTACTATGCTAGTGCTAGCACAATGAATGAATGAATATAAAAATCGAAGATGAGTGCAGCTAGCTACCACCATCTTTTAAAGTTTGACTAACTTTATAGATATGAGTAACAACATCTTTGTTTTAAAATGAGCACACCTTATGAAAATATATTCTATAGTAAGTCTAATGCTACTAATTTGATACCATAAGTCTTAACGTTTTGTTTAAGAAATCCGGTCAAAGTTTAAAAAATTTGACTTAAGATAACTCTATGAATCTATTTATCCAGAATAGAGGGAGTACTGTATTGTGATGTCAGTGATGGCAGTTTCGATGAGCAGATAGGAAGGGAAAAAGATGCACTGCTGATAATGACACACAGTGAGAGTAGCTCAAGTGCCCTATTGCTGTCACAGGGTATATATGCTGCATCTGCGAAAGTACATTTACATGCATTCTCCTCCCCCCACTTGTAAATTTTAGTGTCATTTAAGACTCGGGTCCGTTGTTGGCATCATGTAAAGGAAACTGAGTCACTCTATCATTATCCCGGCCTAGCTAGGGGCCGTGACTGTGAACAATGCTGATTACCTCCCACGAGGGCTTCCTTCAAAACTGATATTTGTTCTTTTAACTCTCTGGTGCTGGTATGAGGCGTGTTACCGTGATGTTGATATTTTACATCATGGGCTCCAAGGGATGCAGTGACCTGCTCAAATTTGTCCTAAAAGCATCTAGCTAGAAATTTGATGTATTAATGGGAATATTGATTGGTTCTTAAATTGAAGACGACACGATTAATTTACTTTACTACTAAGGGCGAACTCTTCAACTCCCGGCTTCATTGTTCCACACACTATTGTTCCAACCCTGACATGCTGTTCATCTCCTGGTCTAACAATCAAAGGTGATTCCCTAGGCTTGCCGACTGACCTAGGGCAACCCACAAACACACATGCCTTGACGGAATCCCTCCCTGGTGAGATCAGCTTCGACAACCTTTGCTAGTTCGCTCGGAAACTTGTTGTTCGCCATGAAAGCGCCATCATTTACTATCTAGCTTGCTTAGGAGCTAGCCGTTAGTCATCGTGAAAGCGTGATGCTTACCCCTACCACCGTGCACTAGAGACAAACTGTTGTGGGCTACACATGATGTGCACGGTGTTTGGCATGACACAACACTTTCATATCAACAATGTGCCCCATCACTTGAGTTGCACTATAATGATAGGTCGACAAAGGAATTCTAACCGCCATGTTCACAACAACTTCGCTAAGGTGATAGCTTACAAGGATTACGTCACATCTCAATTACAAAAAAAAAGCAAACATCACATAGACTAGTCATAGGAACAACAAGTTTGTATGAGTTTATATAGTTGAATCCTCCACTATCCTAAGTTGGAACAGAGGTGCTACCCTCCATTGATGAAACCTCAAGTTGATCCAGGGTGTAGCAAGTTAGCACCATACGATGTCGATGTGGCGTTGGGCGGCACAACTTGGTGGTGCTATGAATACTTTGCACCATGGACTAGTGCATATTGGATGGTCTAATGATACCATGCATCAAGCATTGCACAAACGTAACATGGCCAAACGTAACATGCGTGTGTGCTCAAGCACTATGGATTACTACACAATGGACAGTCCGATGGTCGAGGAAGCACCCCAGATAGTGTAGCAGATAGATGTCGACAATGGCTACTTCACAGGTCACAAAGCCGGGTGGTCCGACAATGAAAAAAAGGGCTAGCATGGGATCATCTAGTGAGAATAAAAGGTTGTTGTGAGTTTGTAATGGCGCTAACCAGGGTGGTGGACTATACACATGCATTTCCATGATCTTGCTTGATGTTGTTGTAGCGCCCCAAGGTGGCTAGAAGCTAGAGCAAGTGATTCTACACTCCATCCATGTTCTCAACTGCATATTGATCACATGCAAGGCATAGAATAGGACTTAGTACATTCATCCTTGTGAGAGATAGGCTTGTAGCTTGAAAGGTTGAGTGATTGAGTTGGTGTGCCCTCGTAATCGTACTAGCTAGAGCACTTGTGGTCTTGGTGACCTTCCAGATACATTTACCCTCCAAGCTTCGTATGCTTACTATGCGGGGGAGGGGGGAGGAGACCCCTTTGTTGGTAGAGAAGTACCATAGTGGACAACACCAATGAAACCAAAAGAGTCGAGCGGCGGTGGTGAGCCTCAATGTGGAAAAGGAAAAGAAGAAAAAAAAACTCTCCCTATCTCTTCTGGCCGTGGCCGCAGGCAGCCCAGTGGGCCGGCCTATCTGCTTTCTTCCCCGCTGGACTTTTTCCCTTCCCCCGCGCCTCCGTTCTCGTCCCGCTCCCATTTTCCCCACAGCCTGCTCCTTGCCATTCTCCCGCGCGGCCCAGCAAGCCATCCCTGTGGCCCAAGCCACAGCCCAGCACCGACGCACCGCGCCTCCTCCTTCCCTTGCTCTATCTCACTGATCGGTCAGCCCCACACCCTTGTTTCACTGATAGGCAGGTCCCGGCTGTCAGCCTCTCCTCCCTTTCTTCCCCGCCCGACTCTGCGCCGACCATGCTGCCCTCTGTTGCCTTGCTGTCCAAGCTGCCCCCGCCTCATAAAAACCAGATGCCCGCGCCAGCGCCTTCCCAATCCAAGCTCCAGAGTTGCAGCTGCCCTCACTGAGCCGCCGAGCCGCTGCAGACCTAGTGCCGCCGCCGACGTCGTCCGCCTCGCCGTGCATCACGCCGCTTCCGTCCGCTCCGAGCCATGGAAAGGTACCTAGATAAGCTTGACTTGATCTCCTCTCTCTCCCCATGTTCTTGCTTCGTTCAATGATGCTATGTAGGCCGAGAACCGCTAGTGCCGCTCACTTCCGGCCATGGCGCTGCTGCGCTTGGCTCTGTTCCGGCCAGTCGGCCACGCCAGTCCCTCCCAGCCGTCCGATTTGAAATCAAGGGTTAGGATTAGAACGTACCCTCTCGTTGGCATATTTGCACAAAAGCCATTACAATTATTCGAGGCTTAACCCATGGTCCCTGTTTTATTCTAAAGAGCCCCTCAAGTTTCTGATAATAGCACCCGCAATCCTCGGATACTTTTAAAAATCAGGTTTTATTTATTTTAATTAAAAAATCAAGTTCTACTTATTTACATAATTGCCACTATCTTCTATGGGCCATAAAACCTCCGCTTTAACTCCGATTTGATCCGTTCAACTTGCGTTAGGTTCGTAATTCCATAATCTACATGTTCATACTACTGTTAAGTATGTTTTCAACTTTTAAAATTCAAGGTTAGATTTAATCTATTATTTTACTAAATGAAATCTTGTTTAATTCATAACTTCTCCGTTTTAGCTTCGATTTTTGTGATCTCCGCGTCTGTGTGTTCGTAGTGAGAGGTAGATTTGTTTTACAAACTTTTCATCTTGATTTTATGTTTGGTATACTGTTCTGATTTAGATCTATTATTTGCTTCATGTATGATTGCATGGATGCTTGTGTGGTGCTTTATGATTATGTCTAGTCGGTGAGCTTTACGTGTTGATCAAGAAGAAGTTCCATTGAAGGTTTGGACTAGAAGAAGGATCTGAGTCTAAGGCAAGTATAGCATGGGATCATCTTTGTTTCTTATACACCTTTAATCATTTAATTCATGTTGCATGTGTCTACCTTGACTACCACTAAGGATATCCTAGTCTTTTGTACTTGTACCTTGATTCCTATGGGGTATTGCATTGGGTAGCTTTGCTAGTGCTCAACTACAATCATGATCTTGTAACTTGACTAATGGTATATGCAATAAACATTAAAATATGACTTTTTAGCAACTTAGAAATAGGGGGCTAGAGTGTTTAGCTACTTTCTAAATGCTTCAGATTCCTCTCCCTAAGGACTTATCTGTGAGTGATCATGCGGGACTTACAGTACAACCATGAGGACTACATGGATCTGGTCTTAGTCTAGAAACTTGCTCTTTCTAGTTTATAGCAGTTTACCGAAAGGGCAAGAGGGCATACCAGGTTGGGTATGGGTCTCATCCACAGGGTGTGTACTATGCTACATGTATAAGTGCCACTTTCGGAGATGACTCCATAATACTTGGGAGATGGAATTCTTAGCGGCTGCTCCTTATTAGAATGACTAGGGAAAAGGTTTGTAGTCTACCCTGCCTGCTCACCTTGGAAGTGTTT